CTTCTCTCTCTCTCCTGGGTATATCTAAATCATTCCAAACAGAAAAGGGTCTCGTCTGTACGCAAAGGGCTCCAAATAAAGATATTCTATAAGCCTCTTCAGCCATTCACTCTAATGTAAACAGTCAAACCTTTTCAGCAAAAACAATGATCCATTGCCATCTTAAATTATTAAGCTTTAGGAAAAACCTGTTTTAGCTATTTTCAGCTCAACACCAATCCAATTTTATTAAACTTTCCTCAGAGATTTTGCAATACTTGTATTAAAATCATGCATCATGGCTCTGATGTTGTCAGGAAAGAGGCAAGCCACTGGAGCAAGCCAGGAGTGGTGAGGAACGAGGCCAGCGTCCAGCTCCGGGGGCCAGCACACAAAGACTTCGGCTCTCAAGGCCCTTGAATGCCATGCCAAGGAGTCTGAGCTTTGAGACTTCATTTAACTTGGGTAGGGGGGGGACACTCAAAATTCGCAGATAAGGTAGCCATGAGAGCAGATCTGTTTCCCAGAAACAATCACTCTTAGACTCTGCAAGTGGTTGCCAGAAGAAAGATAAGGCAAAATGTGAGGGGAGATATGCGCAAATTTCCGTGATTCTAAGATGCTATGGATTTTGAAGAACATTATGAAGTTCATAACAGATTTTAGAATAAAAAACATGTTTATATATATCAATTGCTTCTAAAAGGTAAACTAAATTCAGAAGAATAAAACTTCTACTTTCAGATCAAAATAAATATGCAATTCTATAAACCAGGCAAACTGTTTAAAAGTATAGTGATATAGGGACTAAGTAATGAGAACAAATTCAAGAAATATTTGATATTTATGCTGAACAAAAATCCATATCACCTGCTTTTTCTATTACTCTAAGTTTACTTTGTGGTTCATTTTACAATGACATTTTTCTCGAGGATAACCTATCTAAAGTTAATCTAGAAAAGAAAAGTTTTTGTGCTATTCTACCACTTGAGTAGGAATAGGAAAGGGAACATATTTCTAATGCTGATCAAATATATTTGTCACGAGCATAAAGGAGATGAGAATAAATAGAAAGCCCCAACCATCCATTCACAGTTCTCTAAATGGGAAAACAAAATTCAACCTAAGAGCAAAAGTACCTCTTCTGCCTTTCAGCCGTGTTTGTGATGAGCTTTACTCTTTACACTTGAATTTTCAGTCAATCAAATGTGTCCTCTGGATCTGTGGTCTCTTGGGTCTTTATATTATTTTATTTTTCATCTTCATATTGTATTCTACAGTCTCATGTGGGCTCATGATCCATGGATCTACTTACTTGAAACTCATGTGTGATGCTCTTGAAACAAGCTTCCCTCCCTGTACTTTCAGGAGGCCTGACGGTGCTGTGGACGAGGCGCTGAGCTGCCAACCCCACGGCTGGTGAGGTTAGCCTGACAGCCATTGCCAAGGTGAAAAATGAGTCTCCCCGCTCCTGTACATATTTCCAATCTCAGAAAACCCCTGTAGAGTTGCTATGGGTTGAAAGTGATGCAATGGCAGTGGTAACTCTGTTAGGACTGGCAAGGACAGATAGGCAAACTAAGGTGTATAGGCAAATGCAGCCCATCGCCTGCTTTTGTAAACTGGGTGTGGAACACAACCTGAGCATTTGCTTCCATATTGCCTATGGGATGCTGCAGATTCATAATGACAGGGCTGAGTCGTTTAGCAGATAGCATCTGGCCTGTACACCCTAATGCAGCCCATCGCCTGCTTTTGTAAACTGGGTGTGGAACACAACCTGAGCATTTGCTTCCATATTGCCTATGGGATGCTGCAGATTCATAATGACAGGGCTGAGTCGTTTAGCAGATAGCATCTGGCCTGTACACCCTAAGGTATCGACTATCTAGCTGGCCCTTTGTAGAAGCAGCTTCTGGCTCTTGCTTAAAAGTGCAGAGCCCTTCCTTGTGAATCAGAGATCTGCATTATCATTGGAAAGGTGAGACTGGCACTTTAGCAAGTGGCAAAAACCAGTTTTCTGAACTTTTGCAGTTTTTTAGCAATCTATTACAACAGTTTATCAATTTGACTGTGCAGAATCACATGGAAAGCTTAAACAATAACACCACCACCAAAATCCTGTATGATTAGAGCATGCCCCAGATCAGAAACTACATCAATCATCAATATTTAATAAGAAAAATTTAAGTTGCATTCCCTGTGTAAAAAGTGACATTGCACATACCTAATAATAAGTAACCTCAGGAACCTACTAACTTATATTCACAATATTTGTATTTGTCTTAGGTTGGCTGGTAGTTAAGTGTTATACAGACCTAGGCTAAATTATTTTAATTCCCTCCCCAATCTCTTGATTTCTTTTGGCAAGCTGCCCACTCTTTACTTCTGGCCCAAAGTTCCCTGTTCTCTTTAGCAAACACCAGCCTATAGTAGCTCCTATAAAAAGAGTCGAATTTGCAAACGATTTTTTTAGTAAATGGTTTTATTTCACATTTCGTTTTTGAATGGTAGTTTGGCTAGGTAAAGAATGGTAGGTTATTAGACATCTTTTCTCAGCATTTAGGGACATGCTAATTTACTGTCATTGACCCAGGTTGTTGCTGATGAAAATGTTGCTGTCAGTTGAATTATAGGTTTCATCTATTTGCGTTTAGTAATGTTTATATTCAATACTCTGCATTTTACCATGAGGTATCTCAGGATTCATTAGATGTCGTTTTAACATTCATGCATTTCTACATGGAATGTTGAAATTTCCTCTGGAAATCCCCATCTGCGTTCTCTTTTAAGCTCATTCAAATGTTCTGTTACATGATCATTTGCATTCTTCTAATTCCTCAAAAACGTCCTCTCTTTAATATATTAAACAATGCATTAATTCTCATTAATATATTCTTATGGCTCCAAACGTGCTTTTGAATCCTCAATCTTTTAAACAAGGCTCATTCTTTTATTATGGTCTTTTGCCTTCCAAAACATTTTAAGTTCTAATTTTGTAATTTCTTTGTCAGATTTGTTGTGCTAAAGTAGTTTGGGTTATTGCTCTGAAATTCATAACACTAAGTGAAATGAGGGGGAAGTGTGGGAAGAGCTCAGAATCAGACAAAACGACAAGGCTTAATGTTCAATTAGAGGAAGATGGGACTCCCAGGATTCAGGCTCTTATCCACCCTTACGGTCTGGAAATGAATTTACCTCCCTGGTCCCATTTTCTATACTGGAAACTAGAACACCAAGGATGGACATCCACCTTAGAACAATTAACCATTTATATAAAAAAGGGCAGAGCATTCACCCACCAACACATTTCAATAGCGTTAGAAAAGAAGGAAATACTGAAAGTAAGGGCGGTACGTGATGTTACATTGTGGGAGTTTCACTTAATGACATGACACAAAATGTGTATGAATTGTTAAATTCAAAAACCTTCATATAACTCACAAGAATGTGTTAAAAATAAATAAAAACTGTTTGGGGGAAGTAAGTTTGCTTTGCAATTTATCTTTTAAGGTACTTTTTCTTCAAACATGATTTAGAATTTATACTATGTGTTCTTTTACAGGGTGGTTTTCGTTTCTGTGGAAATTCTAGGAGAGTCGCGGATTATTTCAATGCCTCTAGAAAGGTGATCTGATTGCCTTTTGTCCTGGTGCTGGGGGTTACCAATTTTTTGACAAATTTCTCCCTTAACTTCTCCTCTTGGATTTGCACAATACTTACGTGTCATAAATCCACAACCCATAACTATGCTTGGACCAGATCCAACGACTTTACCCTGGCAGGAAGGTATTTCAGACTTCAGGAAATAGTTGGTTCCCAGCCCATGCCTTACACAAGCATGTACCTCTTCCCATGTGGACAGTAAAATCCCATTTCCAGGCCACAAGGGATGCTATCTGGGTGAGAGAACCCCATGTGCCACTGTGGCATTACCCTTTTTGCTAACCCCTCTTTTTAAAATGGCCTCTGGAGATTTCGTTCATGAGCTTAGCTATATATATATATATATATATACACACACACACACACACACACA